CCCCAAAACCCCAAAACCCCAAAACCCCAAAACCCCTTAAAACTTATTTAATTTAGAAAATTTAAAATAATGGGGAACTGATTAGAAGTTTTTAAGGATAAAAAGAAGAAACAGGAGTAAGTTTTTGGAGTCAGGTTAGAGCGCCAAAGCAGAATGTGCATCAGAGTGCTAGTGTTGAGGAATCCCAAGACATACAGCAAGATATTTCTAATGTTAACATAAATGCAAATCAGGGTAATCAATTGTGAAATATTGTTTAGACATCTCAAAACCTATAAATACTCAAAATGTGGTTGCAGCAGCTCAATCCTCTGCTTCATTCGGAGTAGCTGGACCTGCTCAGAACGAACCTGCTAAGCCTCTCAGTAAAGCTGAAGAAAGGAAGCGTATGCGTGAAAACTTGATGTTTACGAAGAAAGAGGATGAAATCTTGCTTAAATACCCAGGTGAGCTGAATGGCAAGCAGTTCAAGCTAGAGGGTAACAAACGCTGAGAGATTTATATAAATGACTATACTGCTGGAGGCTTCTGAGATAGACTAGAAGACTGCATCCTCTTCTGGGGTCCAAGCACAGGCTCTGTGTTCATCAGAGAATGTAGAAACTGAAGGTTCGTCATTGTGTGCAGCCAGATTAGGCTGAGGGATTGCCATGATTGCGAATTCATGCTGTTCTCAAATACTGATCCTATCCTGGAATCCTGATCAAACATGAAATACTGGTGACTAAACTTTGTTTATCCTGAGCTCAAATCACAAATGGACAATTGAGGGCTTAGTATTTGGAATAATACTTGGGCTGATCAATTTGATTTCACTCCTGGCCAGAATAAACTGAACTATACACTAATGGATGAAGATGGTGATCATTTTATCGACTCTTTTAAAACAGTTACTCACAACATAATGCTGTTACAAGCTCAACATCTTAACCCGGACCTCGATCTCTCACAAATAGATTTAAATTTTGAGGAGAAAGACCAAACCCCATTGGTTCCAATAACCACTGGAAACTTGGCAAAGGAGGCTGAGAGCCATGCTTTTATTCTATTCCTCTCGTCAGATGGTGAGACTATATATGAAATATACAAATATTTCTATCATACTTATTTCAAAGGAAAGCGGGACAAGTACTGGCTAAAAGGTAAAATTATAAGTAATCTGTAGAAACCAGAGAGACTGATCTCAAAGAAGATCAGCTTTCAGAGTTACTTAACTACGACCCCTCTGATGAGAATTATAACAACAGGTGGTACCAATCAGCGGCAGGCAAAGGTTTGATCGGCATGTATCTTTGCTCAGCTTCTGATCCTAACTTTGCTAATGAAATTGCAGGTTATCTGACCAGCAATCATGTTGAGCTTGAGTTCTATCTCAGTTTCAACAAAGATGCAGTCACCGAGCAGAGCAAGAAGTTCTTCAAGGAATATAATAAGGAGGACAAAGGTCATAAAATCAACTAATTCAGACCAAATTTTATTAATGGGATAAACAATGGGGTTTTGGGGTTTTGGGGTTTTGGGGTTTTGGGG